ATCTATCACCTTAACATCTCAGGGAGTGTCGTTATCCTGTTACAAATGGCTCCCACAGCGGCCGGCATGTCAGGGATGAGAAATTTCACACACTGTGGCATGCAAGCGCTTGAGTGTGAATTGTCACGGAGGCCTCTCTTCCATTTTTATATCGCTGTCTGGCATCGGCAATGCCACTAAAAGTGAAAATCCACTGGGAAACAAAAACCTGCGGGAGGTCAGTCTAATGAGCTTGCATAGCTCGACCTGGATTTATGAACAGTGACACTCCTCTCGGAAAGTGAAAAATAAGACAGACAAAGTGTCATCACACTGAACGTGCAGGTGGATATTGAGAGTGTCGAGTGATTTTTAACAGATCCATAAACATTTATCTTGTTCTAAACCTAAGAAGTTATGCCTGTATACTTAAACATTACAAATTGGAAAAATAATAATCAATACTGACAACAATAAAATTGTTTGTTAATGGCCTAATACAAAAGAGTCATAAAATCATTTGATACACTAAAATCTTCAGTCAGTACAGATTTGCTACAATCAGCTGATTTGATTTCATCCATCCATTCAGCCTCGTCACCATAGTTACAGACTACTATGCATTTAAATCAGATATTTAATTTGAACTGACATTACTGATGGTCATATAAATCGTCTTATTATCATCTGGAAACCATTTCAACTGCTTCTAATTTTACAATCTTAATTTCTATATTCATTTGGTCATACTTGACTGAGATTAAATTATAATTATAAATTATATATAGGAAATCTGACTGTTTTAAATAACTGAGATTCATTACTTCTGATAATGATATACAGAGTAATTCATGTCACCCTAATCCTAAACAAATGGCCGCGTAAGGAGCGGTAATACTGGTTATGGTACAAAGATATACTGCAGATTATGTGCTACACCACAGCGTCAACTATGAATATCACAGACTGCCCTGAGACATACACACCCATTATTTCCAGCCGACATGCTACACCTGCTCTCTCCCTCTGCTTGTTTTTTTCTCTCTTCCTGTTCTATCATACCTCTCCCTCTTTATCACTTCCTCTTACTCTCTCTCCCTTTTCGCAGCCTAAAAGATGATTACCTCCACAAAGTAACTGGGAATTAACAGAGTGAGAGACAGAGCACAGAAGGGATAAAAAATAAAAGAAGGGAGAGAACAGTGTGTCTACTTCCAACCAAAACAGCACATTAAGGCCAGGCAGGCAGCCGAGTGGAGGTAACACTGCATTTAGCACCCTGGCTGGGGGGGCTTCTGGACAACTGTCACAGGTGCAGATCTGTGCAAATGTGAGGAGATCTCAGGCGCAAGTGCAGAAAAATAAAGATCTCGGTGCACAGGTGTAAGTTGAGCCCTGACTATCTCATGCATGCATGCGCAGCGAGGACACACACTCTCACACACACATATTCTTGTACATTTCTCCATTGGAGATAATGACTAATAAATAATGTATACGCACTTTCTTTCACTTTTCTCATTCCTGCCTGTCTCTGTTTCTCGCTTTCAGCCGACGCAAAAACACGCTGTTCTGTCTCCCTCTCCCTCCCACTGAACATATGACCCCCCCCCAGCACACACATACACACACACACACTTACAGGCGCACACACAGAGTCACTCTTCACAGGAACAATCTGTCCCGTTAATGTGAGGTCACAGCAGACCGTTTTTCCACTTATCAGCCCTCTGGATTTAAATAAAGCCCTATCACTGATACACTGTTGCCAGGAAACACAATAGGATGCATCAATAACAGGATTTACCCAGAAGCCTACAAGACCCCTTTAGATGTGAGCTGTGTTGCCCCCTTTGTGTGGCTCCAGAGTTCCCTGCCACTGTTGCTCGTGAGCCGCCACATTGTGCTGTAAAGAGATTTTACGATTTCTTTTGTGTTTGTATCCTTCTATCAGAGCTGCCAACTTTCTCTTATTTCCCAGGAGTCCAGATTTTTTTTTTTTTGTAGTTTAATTTTAAAAGGATTTCGATGCTTTTCAGTAGGTTTTAATCAGACAAATTGGTCCAAATGGAAAAATGTAAGTCCCAGTGGTGACAGATGTGTTTTGTTCTGTTTTTTTTTTTTTTTTTTAAATCACAGCAGCCATACCTACACTTCATTTTTTTTAGCTTTCTCTTCTGGTCCCTGCTGATGCATGAGTTCTGATGGCATTTAGAGGAAGTAGACCAATGACCTCAGTGAGCAGGCATGTCTTATGTATCTGGCTATGAGGCATTTCCTGGCACCAGTGATAAAAGATTAATGCCTATTCTTACACTGCTAGCTTCCTTCCGTGCAAACTCTTTTAAAGTTATAGAATACAGTACAAGAGGACACGAGATGCTGAGATAAGCATGATGTAACAGCATGTATACAGTATAGTAGTACATGGTTAATTAATCACACTGTATGAATACACTTAATGTAATTTAAGTGCCTCAGAATCCATATCTCCAAAACCAGACCAGTACAGGTTTAATAATTATTTAGCAATGCAACAGTTTCAAGACTATCAAAGTCACAGTCTGGGCCTCCTGTAGGCAGACGGTGCTTAGGACCTGCCCTGTGTGTACATTAAGTTTTCTGTCACCAATAAATATAAGGTTGCACTTATATTTATTGGTGACAGAAAACTCAATGCTAGCTTCTTCCCTCTCAGCAAAATTAAAAAATGCATCAGAAACCTGCAAAGGACCGAAACTTTAGCAGACGTAGCCTCGACAACAACCCGGAGTGAGTGACCGGCCGACCACAGCAGCGTAGCATTAGCAGCCAGCTGGTAGTCAGAGCTAATGAGCAGCTGCTGTCAGACTCTGTTTCTGCACTGCAAACTGGAGCTTTTACAGTCACTAGAAGGACATCCATGTTTTTAAAAGTCTCTGTGTTTCTGTATGTCTGTATTGTAGCTAAGCTAACGGCTCAGAGAGGCCAACTCTGGTATGTCTGTGGGGGGGACTGTGAGTGCGTGGGATCAAGGTAGAGGTTGCAGTCCGGTGGTTCTCCTCCAGCCGTCTAAAGCATAAGTCTGAACCATTACGCCAACATAGAAAAATACTAAGTAGAGGTTTAGCAAAAAATTGCCTAAACTCCTGTGATGATTGCTGTGTCTCGATCAGTATACATTTGAAAACGAGGGCAGCGGTTTAGGTTCTGATTAGAGGGTATTTTGTATATAAATGTCATGATAAAAAGGAGTCCAAAATGATCGACTCTATCTCAGCACTGGACGAGGTTCAGAGTGATTTAAAACAGTCATATAATGTAGTTTACAGATCAAAAACATGTTTAAGTATGGAGTACCCCTTTAAGGTTCAGTAGGTCACAGACATTGATTGATACTATAGTAGTAGAACTAAACTCCTTGTAGTAGTGAATACCATTTATAGCCACTTATTTTTTTTATCACACTTTTTTTTTCACTATGGGAGCATTGTTTCTATGAATGTGTTCCTGCCTGTTTTGTAAAACTAAATGAATAAATCATGGAATAAATTCACACTCTTCTGTCAGAGGTAATGAGATACGATAGGCTACATATTAGCATTAGAAGATAATCATCTGAGCTCCTCTGATATCTGGCTCTCTGTTGGTTTTCTGCCCAGATACAGGAGTGGCGAATGGGAACATGGCAGGATGCCTGCTAAAATCTAGCAGGGTTTATAATGGGAATGCACTATCCCTCAATGGTTTCTGTGGTGAATCAGAGTATATTCATGTGACCTCAACGAACCCTGCTAAAATCAATTGTGGGAAAACAAACTGATGATGCATTTTGTTAGTCTTTTAATAAACAGCTAATAATTTACACCGGTGCATCTGCTATTACTTCTACAACTACTAGAAGTGTTACCACTACCATTATGACTATTTATCTGGTTATAAATACTCCTACTGGAGCCTCTTCTCATGTAAAATTCATACTGATCAACCTGGCCAGATTTTTTTACATTCAGTTAAGCTACACCATCACCAATACTGTACCATTACATAGCAAATTACGCATTAACCTGAATTTAAAGGTACACTAATCAATATTTCAACGGATCACATGACTATGTCTTAGGTGTAAGGGGTCACTTGTAGTGATGAACCCATGGGAAATTATCACATAACTGTGGTTCCTCTCAGCTCTACAGAGTGTTTTAGGATCTTTCAGCTCATTGTTTTAGTTTTCTGCTACCACAACATTACTGTGTTGGTATGCTCTCAATACTCTCACCAACCTTGTTTTATTTAAGGTCTGATACACCTACTGTACACTACCTGCTTAGCACCAAAAAAGCAGACATAAAGAGTTAGCAACTAGCTAGCGAACAAAACGTAGCATTTGGCCACTAAAGAGCCAATGTTATCTTTAGGAGTTGGTGGAGACCAAACAGAGTTTCAGCTGAATGCTAATGTTTCACTGTGTCTGCTGGATGTGTAAATAGGCAACTGTTTGCTAGCATGCTAACCATATCAAAAGATTAAATCAATGTAGCTTTAAACTAATTATCTCAATCTCCTGATATAATTGTGTGTAATTTTGTCATATACAGGTATACTACATTTGTATTATTTGATCAATGTACAATTTGATGGTAATGTCTTGGAAAAAAAACATTCACTTGTCGTAAATATTATAAAACAAATTGGAGATCTGTGTAGGATATTGATTCAACCACTATGAGAATATGTTAACAACATTAACAGTACAATGAGTTCAGCCTTATTCTGTGTAACTAATCGTTTCTGTTCTGGGACACTGTCTCATGTTCTCCTCTGATGAACTTCTACTTTAATCTATCCAAACCCACTGTTAGTTGTTAATTTACTGCTTTATTGAACTTTAGTCAGATCTACTCAGAGGTATATACCGTGTGTGCTGAGTGAGTTTGTGTGAACGTGTGTGTGTGTGGCAAACACATACAAATCAGTGTGAGCGTTGAAGCATACAGTATGTGTGTAATCCATCAACTGAAAGTGAGTCAGTGGAGTCTCACCTTGACATAGAGCTGCTGGAACTCGTCCAGGTTGAGCCGGCCGGTGGGACAGTCCTTCAGGAAACCCTTGTACCACTGCTTCAGCTCGTGTTCGTTAAACTCTGTGTTCTTCACCAGGTCCTCCATCACTTCAGGGGTCAGCTTGCTGTTCTGTTTCCCCATTTTTCCTACATAAAGGGCAAACACACACACACACACACACACACACACACACACACACACACACACACACACACACAATTAATAAACTTAAGCACCTTTCAGTTAATACAGGACACACAGAAGAACCTCTGTAAAATACATTGTTATGAACCTAAAATTCTTGAGGGCTTTTGAAAGAGTGATTTATCAAGGCTGAAAACAGAGATTTCTAGAGAGCTGTGAAAGTGCAAACCAAAGCTCCATCTAAAAATAAGCTTTAAAACAAATGGAGTGATATGAGGCACGGGAATAGTTTCACGTTATAAATTAGTCCTGAATTGTTATTTCTTGCTAAATAATAGAGTCGGTTTGTAGGTTTTTCTGTTCTGTCGTCCTTTGCGCAGCTGCTTGTCCTAGATTTGTTTGTTGTTGTTTCATTTTTAGTGGAACTCTGAACCTTTAAAAGCCTTCTTGAGTTTTTGCATTACCATGATAAACTGTATTTTATAAAAAATAAATATGGATTGAGGGATAGATGGCATGTAGATGTTAATGTCCCCTCACTTCTCCTACTGGAGCTGTTTGCACCCAGCTGCCTCTGTGGATAGTTTATGTATCTACACAGTGCTGATGCTGCCACTTTATGGCCTTAATTCGTTCATTAACCAACCAATTATCATAATTTGCAAAAGATGGTTATGAGAACATTCCTGCTAGTACTCTCAGCTGAGATGTTTTATTGGACCTCTTTAGCTTGAGAAGACCAAGGGAGATATACGTAGCAACAGTATGTGTGGTGCCAATCTGTCTCTTGAGAGCCTAGGGGTGAGGAAAGGAGGCTCAGGCACGAATCCAAGACGTACCGCAGTCATATACACTGAGGCCTGCCATGCTGCATTGGTTTTTTCAAAGCTCCATTTAAGGGTGTTCCTTCAGAGAGACCATTTTTCGAAAGTATACCATAAGTTTTGAGATTGATTTTATGCTTTCCGGGTAGCAGCTGGCTTCCATTTATTTCAATACGCTATGAAAATCAACAATGCAGCGACCTGAAGCTCACCTGGAACAGATAATGCATCACTTGCTGCCATTTTTGAATGCCAAAGTTTATTGCTGTGTGGTAATGACACTGCGAGCAGGGACTTTTTGCATCCTTGCAGTGCTTCAAAGCAGCTGCAACATCCAACTCTGATGTTGGCTGCCAAAGAGAAACCTTTTTACTGCAAGGAATTACGTCACATTTTTACATTTTTAAAGCAGTCATGTTTGCTGATTGTTCATTTTCAGGCCCTCACTGTGTCACAACATAGCTCAGGAGTGTACCGCACTTCAGCAGCCAACTGCCACACTGTAGATGTCGGACTGTGTTGAACACACCACCAAGGCAAGTTTCCAAAATGGTCATCACTTGCAACTACATTACACAGTAAAAATACACAGAAGGTATGATATCAAAATAAAATCAAGAGTGAAATGTATAGTATGCCTTGCACATTAATAATTGATTCAGAAAGCATTTGTGATCTGTCTGTTCTGACATTTTGGGAAAGTCAAAATTCACTTTCTTCATGGAAGTTAGATCAGAAGATTGATACAACTCTCAAGACTGTACGTTATATGAAGCTAACCAACAGTCTTTATGTTAGCCTAGCATAAAGACTGGGGGAAACAACTAGCCTGCCTCTGTCTGAAAGTAAATTAAACGATAAAAACATGTAAGAACAACAATTTGTGGTTTTACAATGGGCTAAGCAAACTGGCTGCTGGCAATAGCTTCACATTTAATGTACAGCTGTGAGAGTGGCATCGATCTTCTTCAGTTCTTGGCAACAACGCAAATCAGTGTGTTTCCCAAGATAAAGAAGTATTTCTTTAAGCCTCTATCTGGATGGAACTGGCCAGGGGAATATGGTTTCTATTGTTTTATTGACAGGTGTTTGTCCTTTTTCATATAGGCCCCACTATACACAGGGGTTGAACTATTTTAGAAAGTTGTGAAATGGAGGCCTGATGAAGGTCTGTGTGTATCTATGTGTGTGCGTGTGTGTGCGTGTGTGTGTGTGTGTGTGGTGGGTGTAGACAGCGGCTCAGTTAGTTGATCTAATTTGGTTGTCTACATTGTTGATGGAGAGGGAGGAAAGTGGAGAGAGAGACACATCTATCAGAGAAGTTATATGCTTCTTCACAAAGACCCCTTCCAACCTTCCCAAGCAGCTCAGACAGTCCCTGCACCACAATCTGGAGGCCATTTGTCTAAGGAAGATAGATATGCTTTGCCCTGGAAATCCAATTTTGAAAAATGCTTTCTGCCTGTGTGTGACCCAAGTTCACCAAGGAACGCAGGATTCATAATGTGCAAAACTGAAATTAAAGTTCTGACTAATCATGCCTCCACACTGCCTGTTAATTAAATGGATAATACAGCAAATCAATTATTTTACAAATGAAATCACAGCAGGTATGACAAAAGGCTTCATTGTCAATATGTTAATAAGACATGAGGTAAGTTAATTAGATAATGGTAAACAGAAAATGTTATTTAAACAATGCAACAATCTGATAATCCTATTAAGTTCAATTGCTTATGGGAGGTGGAGAGGGGAATCCACACTTACACAAACAAAAAAATGACAGAGAGACAGGCCTTTAGACGGACACATGCACACACACACTTCTATATATGGAGATTAGCCGGCTGTATGGATGCCCTCACTATCAGCTGAAACCAGTGAAGTGACCCGACATGGTTGATGCTCACCAAAAAATGTAATTTCTCGCAGACCTTTGATGAATTAATTCAGGATAAGCAGCATTTTGGACCCATGTTGAGTATGGCTGAATGTCACTACTCCTCATTGGTTTTCAAAAGGCTGTTTGATTACCTGCATTTGTGTAAATCAAGACCCTATTCTTTCTGCTTTGTTACTTCTAAATACAGGAAAATAACAGCGTCGCACATTAGGAAGCCTTGATTACAACGCTGACACTTAACATCAACTCTTGTAAAGCCGGGAACACGCTGCTTCAGTTTCAAAATCCTAACAGATTTTAAAATTGGGTTGCATCACTCACATTAATCACCCAAAGAGATTGTCTTCTGTCTGATCTCAAACATGCACACTACAATACAAGATTTAAAAATAATGCTGCATCACACACTACAGGATATTATTAAGATAATGGTGCCAGAGGGAGCAATGCACCACCGGGATATCATGGGGTGCATTTGGTACATAAAGACACAGCACCATTAACATCCTCTTCATCTGGACTTTCTCCCTACATTTGTGGTTCCCAACCTGGGGTTGCCATGGCTTTATGGTGAGTCATGAGGCCTTCTTGATTTTAAGGAGGGCTAGAAAACGTAAACAATATACACAGTAGGCCTATTTCTCAGCATTTGGTTCATTTATGTTAAGAAAAGTAAAGTAAATTGTTAAATTTACTGTCTAATAGAACAATAGGACAAGAAAACACTGAATTTGTCAGAAAATAAGCCTATTAAGTCTGTATGATTGTTAAAAATAATACAAATACATAATACAGAAAGAGAATTGTATAAAAGTTTCCTTAACAGGAAATAATCTGCTCAAAATTAATCCAGATTACTTGTTTTATGCAAACTACTGAGCTCACTATTTGGATTAATTGTACAGTTTTGAATATAATATGAAATACCCATAAAATATCACTTAGTCAGTGGCCGTCAGTTTACTAAATAATAGAAAAGGGGTCCCTGAAGGAAAAAGTTTGGGAACCCCTGCTTTAGTACCATGACCTGTGTGTGAGGAGGTAGTACTCTATGAGGTAGTTATGATGCAGATGCAGAATATGGACACATATATGTAAAGATAAAAATCTTGCCTCTATTAAATAGGACAAGGCACAACACAGCCTTGTGTTAATATGGCCTGCCAGACAGGGGTGGCTGCAGCTCAGGACGTAGAGCAGGTCGTCCATTAGCCCCAGGGTCGGTGGCTCCATCCCTGTGTGCTCGAGCAAGACACTGAACCTCAAGTTTCTCCTGATGGGCAGTCCAGCACCTTGCAGGGCCGCTCCGCTGCCATACGTGTGTGATTGGGTGAGGTAATATTGTAAAGCGCTTTGTCCATAAAAGCTGGGGCAGGAAGCTTTTTTTGGTGTCATTGGGCAAAAATCCCAGAATAACTTTTCAGCATATTGTATAGCCTGTGATGGGAGACTTCGGTCTCTCACAGGTCATTTCAGAGAGACTGCGTTCCTATTTTGGCAGGGCAACCTTCTGCTGCAGTCTGAACTTGCGGGTTTGGTGGAAGGGGGCTTAGTGCTTCACATTTGAGTTATATTTTTGGTATGGTCTTGGTATGAATGACAAATGTTCTTTTTAGCTCTATGTATATATGCTTACATTTTGGATTTGGTAGTACAAGGCCTGGATCCTGGATTCATTAAAGTGGTAATCCAGGGATTTCGTATTGCACATCCATAAAGAAGAAGAGACAGATTTTAAATAGAATTGAAGCAGCATTACTTTGTGCAAGATTTGATTGTCTGTATGGAAATAAGGTCTCCATCTGCATAGGCCGATACAGGGACAATATTCTGTCTAATGAATACAAAACTATGGGGTGAAACCTAAGAATATAAAGTACAACTGTTTTTTCAAAGGAGGGCACACATGAGATTTACAGAATAGATATGTTGTGGCAGCAATTTGATTTTAGCTTAAGTTCATACTCTATCAATATTTTTATTCAATTATTCATCTTCACTTTTTGTGCGAGCAAAGAGCTACTGTGTGTACAAAACATTCAGGTAATCATTTAACTTGCAAGTGTCCATGTCAATGGTTAAGTTTAAGTTATTTAAAGGTCCAGTGTAACATTCAGGAGGTTTTATTGGCAGAAATGGAATATAATGTTCATAGATATGTTTTCATTAGTGTATACTGTAAGTTACTTGAATATAGGATCTGTTTTTGTTACCTTAGAAGCTGTTTATCTGTTTATATCTACAGACACCACAGGTCTCCTTCCATGGTGTCTGCCATGTTTCTACAGTTTCCCAGAAGACACTAGCTCTAGATAGGTGCGTTTGCATGTTTCGCGGCCACCATAGTTTCTCTTTTGCGCTTGGAAGGGAAGGGAGGGAGTTCAAATCTATAACTACACCACTAGATGCCACTAAATCCTACATACAGGTACTTTAAACTTCCGTTAAATTGTTGAAATACATTTTGTTACTACAGTGAACTTAACCGAACAGAACCCAAAAACAATCTACCACAATATATTTAAATGAGCTGATGCTCTATTCAGATTCAGTAAAATGCTACTGAACCCTAGTTTTCAGCTGCTCTCATAAGCACAAACCGCTACAGTATGCACAGACCCAGTCTAAGATAAGAATTACGGACATGGGGTTATGGGTTAAACACCACAGAATGTGACTACTAAAGTTAAAGTCTAGCCTCTCTCTCCGAGTTACACGCGTAAAGTCTGCTGCAGTGAGACAGAGGAGGCAGTGCGCTCCGACAGCACTCCTCTGTTACACTGTAGGCTGTCAGGCAAGATGGGCTGAGCCTGAAGACAGCAGCTGCAGCAGGAGACAGATGTGTCCCGAGAGAGATCTGAGCACAAGACGCATGACAGCCTTGGCATTATGTCACTGTGCAGATGTGTGTGTGTGTGTGTGTGTGTGTGTGTGTGTGTTGTGTAATAGAAAGAAAAGTAAATACCTTTGTATTTTATATTTAATTTAGTGTGTGAATGAATGCATGTGTTCATGTTTACCGTAAATATAATGTATCTCCCACCAGTCATCAAAGCACTTTGCATCACAGAACTACAGAAGTCATTCAGAATTAATCTGAAGTGCTGCACTTCAAGGCGTCACGAGCGCCACATGAGCATACTGTCAGCATATGATGGTGAGACAGAAAACCTCTGAGCAATTAATACATTTTTGATGGAAGATACAAACTTCTGATATAGTGATACATTTTCATTCACAACATGCTTACAATAGCTCTCACTGCATCATAATATGTGTT